ATATATATAAAATATAAGTCACATTAATAATCAAAGTTACTTTCACCTTAAAAGTTTAAGAGAATGTTTAAAAGGAGACGGGACCATTTTGGAAATATTTCAAATACTTTTGTTCTTTTAAATTCTTTAGCAATTCTCACATCTAAAAAAATTTGTAATTTATTTTACATTTCAACGTGTAAAGGAAACCTAATGAAATACTTTTATCTTATAAGAGAAAAAATGCAATTTACATTAATAATATTAATAGGTAAAATGTTTTATGTGTTTATCTATGAATACACATGTTAGTGAAGGTAGTGGATAGTTATTAAGAAATAAAAAAAACTAATATATAAAAAAAACCTTTTTTTATTAATTATTATTGTATAATTTTATAAGGAGTTAAATTTGTCTAAAATAAGGTGAATACAAAAATAAAGAATCACCTTTATATATAGGTAAAAATTAAATTAAATAGACTTAATTATATTTTTTTAAGGATAAGAAAATAAAAAGTTGAAACTAGTAGTATTCTTTTTCAAAGCAAATTTAATTTACTTCGTATTATGATAAAATGCATATTTTTATAAAATTTATTAATTTTATTATTTTATGTACATAGTTAAGTCATTATGGGTTGACACAAATGGTTAGGATTTACTCCAAGCTTACATTCCTCATGACATAGGTTCAAGTTCAACACTTGCTGCAATCATTATAACATTACTTTGGTGAACATATCTACTCAAAGTGATCTTTTGAATTTCAATTAACCACTAAGTGAACAATGATGTTTGATCTATGATCTCCAACATGTTATTGGCTCCTTACTTAATAGTTTTAGTTTTTACTCATAAAAAATTATACAATTAGTTATATTAATGCCAACATGATACAATGCATATTTTTAAAACATTTTATTATTATTATTATTATTATTATTATTATTATTATATACATATATTTAATTATGTTTGACCAACGAAAGTCCGGCCTCATGAGTGCATACTAATTCTTAGTTATCAATTTTGAAATACTGCATAAATCATGTTCATGAATAAACAAATATACATATTTTATTTTAGTAAAAAATATACATATTTAATTATATTTATGCTAACACAATACTTTGCATATTTTAAAGTATTATTATTTTATTACTCCCTCCATTTCTATTTATAATACCAAATATAAAACAATTATTTGTTCTTTCATATAAGATTAGATTAATATTATCTCATATATTAATTATTTTTAGATTAAAAATCCTTAATTAATGTGTGTTATCTCAATTTAGTAAAACGCATTAATTATACATTATTCAAAGAGTAGTATCAAGAAAAATGTATTAATTAAAAGAGGTAAATAATATAAGACATACACTCTACCTGATTATGGGTACTAATTAGAAGAGATAAATAACATAGGACATATACTCCAAATTGGTTAGATGATAAATAAATATTAATTAAGGAAGAGAAATAGTATAAATATAATTTAAAAAAAAAATATATATAACTATCATGATCTCATGAAAGCGTGGATTATTATTTTGGGTGGAGTGCAATGTTAATGTTGTTATTGATAGGATGTGTATTAACATTAGACATTAGAATTTAGAAGTGAGGAAAACTTATGTTAGGTAAGTATTCTGTTGAATAAAAGATTAAAAATTGAAAAATAGATAAAAGAAACACATGAGGTCGCTCAAACTAAAACCTGGGGGATGCTTTGTCCAAAACTTGGTGAGTGGTGTTATTGGAGAAATATTTAGACTATAAACTAAATTTTGAACACCAAGCGAAGCCAAGTGCCAAGTGGGGGTGAAAAGGAAAGTGAGGTAGCGTGTTACAAGGTGTTACCCGTGGCAGCAGTAGAATCCTATAAATACGACAACGGGGTTTCATAACATTTCGGTGTTGAGTTATGTTGTCATCTTTACCATCCTCTCTCTAACCTCCATTAACTCTTTCTCCTTTTCTAAAACCCCAAACCGCAACGCAACACAACACAATAAGTTCCGTTTTCATAACGTAAATTGTCTCTTCTCCTCCGCTTCTCTATTTCCGCCCTCAATTCCGATTCCCCTCTCCTCCAATTCGGAGAATTAGGGTTTTGCCCGTGGATGCTGCACCGCCACCGTCGCTAGGGTTTGCGATGGCGGAATTGGAGGAGGAGCAGGTGGGGGATTTCAAGCCCTTCTCCGAGGGTTCTTCGTGCTCCCGTTCGATCAGCGAAACGGTGAACGGCTCTCACCAATTCACGATAAAGGGTTATTCTCTGGCGAAAGGGATGGGTGCGGGGAAGTACATCATGAGCGACACTTTCAGCGTCGGTGGCTACGATTGGGCCATCTATTTCTACCCTGATGGCAAGAACCCCGAGGACAATTCCATGTACGTTTCCGTCTTCATAGCGCTCGCTAGCGACGGGACCGATGTTAGGGCTCTCTTCAAGTTGACGCTGGTGGATCAGAGTGAGAAGGGGAATGATAAGGTTCATAGCCATTTCGATCGCCCCCTCGAGAGTGGACCTTATACCTTGAAGTACAGAGGCAGCATGTGGTTGGTACCATCAATTCCTTCACTCTTCCTTTTTGGAATTGAACCCATTATGAACTTGGAATGATGGGTTGGCTGTTGGCAAGGGTGGTGCTATAGAGAATTTTTTTGGGGTTTAGGGTTTGGATTGGGTGATCATGGTATAATCGATTGATGGGGTTTTGAAAGCTTCGTAATTTGTTATATCTGTGCATAATATTTAATTGTAATTGTAAACTCAACTATTGAATTTTTAATTAATGGTTATAATTATAATTTCCTGCCCTGTGTGAAAACTCCTTGGGCGAGTGACAGTCAAGAGCACTGCGAATGGATTATTCTTTGGCCCAATGGACGGAGGATATTCGTGGCAGGACCCGAAAAAATTGCACTTTATGGTGTAAAGTATCCCTGCCAGGAAACAACTTAATCCCTTAATTTGCTTATGTGTATTTCTTGATTTTTTGAGCTTGAATCACGTGTCTCCTTTTTTTGCGTTTCACTTTAATTCCTTGAAAGGACTAAATTGAGGCAGAGTGGTACTGATTTTCACGTGAACACAATTCATGACTAGATTGATGGTGATTAGTAGTAATTAATGGGATTGGCTGAGTTACTTATTTATACTTAAATATAGTTTTTATAATTTTGGTTATCAGTATTTGGCTTTTATGTTTTTTGAGCCGGACGGCAGAAGTTTGTCATGTTATCTCTAGTATTGGTGGTTCCTGCTATTAATATTTTGATCACCCTCTTGAGAGCGG